ACCAAATTTTCACATTGTTATAAAACACCCTGGATACGAGAATTCGCTAATTATATTTTCGAAAACCACATAGCAGATTAACATCTTAATCACAATAGATGCATCTAAAACCTGGTCCACATCGCATCCCAAAATCTTTTTTAGTTCAAGAAATATTCAACTTAATTAAACTTTCGACTAAAATTTTGCTTGTCCCGATAATTATGTCCGGCAGTTTTTTGACGAAATTGTCCACAAGTACTAGTTAAACGCTTTTTTTCATTACGTTTCTTCATTACGGACATACGCCAGAAAGAAATCTAACAATGTTTGTTTCACTTATTTTTAATGGCCAAGCTGTAAGGGGAATCTTCGGGTTCCGAGCCTCGAAGCATCGATCCGGAACGAAGCGGTTTGACCTTGATTGAGTTTGATATAGAACCCAGTAGTAATGTGTCGATCCCGCGGATCCCGCACGGTAAATCCCGCAACTTTGATCCCGCGGAATCTCAGAGGGATCCCGCATTTGCGGGATTGCATTCCCTAACCAGGGTAGAGGCCGTGGCAGATGACCCACCACTTGTGACGATCGACACACTGAAGGAAGCTATAGGAACGACCATCAAGGCCAAGCAGCAAGAGACGTAACACACCGTGAGGACTGTGCTACAGCTCGAAGACTATGGCCACTGGTAGATAGCAAAAAGACAAAACAACTACTACAGCACAAAAAAAATAGTACGCATAATTGTAGGTGTCGTTACTGGAAACTACCCAACGGGGGTAAACCTCGTGAGATGGGTGATTTCCAACGACGACTACTGCAGAGAATGCGGAGGGGAAGAAGAAACCATATAGAGCACCTGCTGTGCCACTCTCCGGCACAAAATAGATGTTTCAAAACTTTAGGGCACTGTTTCTTGGAGGGACTAGGAAGCAGCAGAATCCAACATCAACGATATCGGGACCTTTGCAAAGAGCTGGAAGTACTTTAACGCAAAGAAAGTATGAGAGGAAGGTTTGGTATACAATAATAAAGAGGTACTGCAATGGGCCCAAGGCCTCCGAGTAAGGAATCAGACAGGATCTCAAATCCCAACGACCTAATCTAACCTAACCATAGCAAACCCCATCTATTCTTAAGCTGAGTTTAGAAATTATTATAAAGCGATTAAACGTAGGTACTCGAATATAATTATTATTATTGTATAATGATTTTATTATTTATTTTCAATTTTGACAAATGCACTAAGGCAAACATTAAAACATTTTTGTTCTCTATAGGGAAATTCTTAATTAAGTTTGATTTAATGGCAATTAACCAGAAATATTATCTAAATCCTTGCACATTTTTACCCCCTCAATTAAAATTGATATACAGGGTGGTACAAACTGTATTCCGAAAACTTCGGCAGCATATTTTGCAGATAAAAATAAGTAAAAAAGTTCGTATAAATGTATGTCCTTAAATGCTTAGTTTCGAAGATACAGGGTGTAGAAGTTTCATTTTTATTTCGATTTTTTCCAAATAATTTCTGAAATAACGTTAATATTTGGATGAAAATTGGTATGTTTTTTGACATGGGAAATTTGATTTTGATATCAATATGACTCTGATTTGTAGGGGGCGCCACCTACATGTGTTTTAACTGTTTTGAAGAGTAATAACTTTTCCTCCGTACCTGTATAAAACTACTGTGTGAAAAAATATACATTTTTTTTTAAAAAAATTTTTTCGTAAAAAATGTTTCTTGGTAAAAATCGATACGAGCAACCGTTTACAAGATATTTAGAAAGGAAATAGCCAATACATGTCATTATTGACAAAAATATAAACATGCGTTGAGTAGATAGTTATTTGACTGAAATGATAAATTTGGGAACTTTTTATTTTTTGAAATTAATCATAAATTTTTCTTCAAAAAAATGATGATAAAACAGTTGTTTCTGTTAAACTTTTGGCACAAAAACATTTCAAATTTATGATTTCAGTCTAACAACTATTTAGTTAACATGTTTAATTTATGTCAATATCAGGTATTAATAATTTCGATTCTAAACTCGGAAGTTGGCGTTCAGTTGAGGTTCAGTTGCAGTTGGATGTTCGCGGCAGTTGAGATTCAATATTTTTGCATTTATAAACTGTCAGTTTCGGTTGTAGGTTAGGTTTGGAATTGTGAAAATTTCGAACGTTTTTCTTTCGATTTAAAAATACTTCTGGTATTTGTCAAATTTCAAACACAGTAATCCACGATTACGCAAAATATAAACATCACATTAACAGAAATAATGAAACAACAATAAGGGTCATTTTCCAATGCATCGGCGTACTGTGCTTCACGTGATTGACAGGCGCTTATTCATTGGCTGTCGCCGAACGTCGCCAGCGGTCGCCAACTGCGCGCAACTGCCGACATAAACATTGACCATCTTTGAACTCCGCTGAACGTAAAACGAACTGCCAACTTTTCGACCAACTGACTTTATAAATGCGCGCGTTCATTTCATAGCGTTGAACATTTTGAACGGCAACTGAACCTCAACTGAACCTCAACTCCCGAGTTTATAAATCCAGCTTTACTCGTAGCGATTTTTATCAAGAGACCTTTTTTACGCAGAAAACGTCGTAAATGTATATTTTTTTACTCAGTAGTTTTACGGACGAAAAGTTATTACTCTTCAAAATAGTTAAAAATATGGTGGCGACCTCTACAAGTAGGAGTCATATTGAAATCAAAATCAAATTTCTCATGTCAAAAAACTCCTAGGCACCAATTTTCATCCAAATATTGACCTTACTTCAGAAATGGTTTGGAAAAAATCGAAATAAAAATGAAACTTCTACACCCTGTATCTCCAAAACTAAGCATTTTAGGACATACGTTTATACGAACTTTTTTACTTATTTTTATCTGCAGAATATGCTGCCGAGATTTCCGGAATACAGTTCGGACCACCCTGTAAACTGAATTTACCACCACTTTGTATATCCTAAGAAATGTAGTATTCTTAATTTGGTTAATCAGCCAAATGTCAATTTCAAGACCTAAATTAATTACAATATAAATTACCTCGAACGAGAAAACCAGAAATGACTCTCTTGGAAATTTCTTTAACCTTTCTCATTGATTTTGTATGTCAATCGAAGATAATTCGTATTTATAACAGGTTTTCGGTAATTCCCGGTTGGTTTTGTTCCATTTATATGCAAAAATAGCGATTTTAAACTTATCCGCTAGTTACTTTACATGGGTGTTAGTTTAAATAATTTTAAATATGTAACTAAAAATGTTTTTTAAATATCTTTAAAACATTCTTGCACAAACTTAAATTATGTACTATTTTTTGGTGAACATTTTGTTTAAAAATCATAAATAACGTTTTTTTACAATGATTTATAACGATAATTTATAATAAAAAAGAAAGTATCTTCATCAGGCGCTTTTTAATAGCACGCAGCTATTGGATTTACGTCAGCTGTCAGCTCTACTTTCTGAATATCCCAAAATTTATGTACCTATAAAGGAAAAATATTGCTAGAAGACCATGATCATGAAACTAGAAATAAAAATCGTATTCTGGTTTACGCTCCAAGTATATCCAATACCGAATAAGATCTTTTCGTTTTGTGCGTGTATAACGTTGTATTTTTTTAATTACTTTCGAATTATGGTTAAGTATGATTATGGAGATTTGTTTCAGATATAAATATTTTTCTTCGGTTGTAGATTTTGTGAATAGTAACCATTTGCTGCAAGGCTTTTGAAAAACAGTTATTTATGTTGAAATAATGGTAATAAAAATCTGAAAAAATATACAGGGTGAGTCTTAAATAAGTGTAAATATTTTTAGGGATAGTATATTTCGACCCCAGAAACATCTATGATTTTTTTTGCAGAATTTTTTTTTTGAAAATTTGGAATTTTTTTAAATTTTATTTAAAGAACATAGTATCTTGATATTATGACAACATAGGTGGTACATTAAATTTACTAGAAAAAAAAACAGAGAAGATCCGGTGGTTCTCAAAATTTAAACAAAAATCATTTTTTTTAAATCTTCAAAAGTAAAATATCTCGGTTATTCTGGACTTATTTGAAAAACTTCTTTTATCGAGATCTAACAGCTCTGATAATATTTGCTCTCATTTATAACCCACCCTGTACAAAATGTGGAGGAGATTGAACTAAATATTCCCAATAATCACAACTACCAGTCAGAAAAATTTCGCGATTTTTTAAATTTTTGTTCAAAACGGTACTGTTTAGGCTTCTACCTAAATCACGAAAATCTAAGGTAGTTTATAATATACACAGACAACAAAAACCTAAGAAATAACAAATAAAAATTTTAAACAGTAACCTACAATTTAATAACTAAAAACAACTAAAACGATTTTCATGCTAGTCTTTTTCGTATCGTAAACTAGGCGTTTACTGTCTAGATTTTTATTTTGTAAGTGTAGAAATACAGGGTGATTCTTAACCTTTACGCATAAACTTGGGAAATTATTGCTGATAACAAAAAATGACTAGTAATGAAAAAAAAATGTTGATAAAATATTTTTAGATTCTGAAATAATTTGAGTTTTTTTTTCACAAAAATTTATCAACTTTATCAGTAAATGCACATTCAATTTAATGGAATTTAAGTTTTTTGTTTTTATTTCAAATAGTTTGTTATCTCCGTAAATAAAAATATTTTACTAACTTTTTTTTTCATTATTAGTCATTATTTGTCATCAGCAATAATTTCCCAACTTTATGCGTATAGGTTAAGAATCATCCTGTGTACACAACACTAGAGAGTTTGCCCTGAATAATAGCCTTATTGTAACTTTATATTAAACACAGATTATATACAGAGTGTCCCAATATTCAGAGGACATAGAACTACTAAATTATATTAACTTTTTACTCCAATTTTATTGTGTTAAGGAATTAAACTGTTTTTAACACATTATTTTGAAAACTAGAATTATAATAAAAATTATTAAATATATATATAATTATTAGGCTCACCTGTTAGTGCTGCCCAATGAAGAAACCAACAGGCAGATTCATTGTTTTTCTTAGATGACAACAACCCGTTTGAGTTCCCATTAGAGCTTGTCACAGTAGGCCTATAAACAACACCAACTAAATTCCTGTTTTCTTCACTACCATCCTCTTCAGGAGCGGCCAGGTTATTTTGTATACTAGACATTTTCTCAAATACCGGTTTATACAACAAAACTAGGTAAAAATCTTCAATTTTCACTGTTCCATTGATATCGTTTTACACCTCGATAGTATTCCTCTCGATGCAGTCACGGTACTGAGTGAACTTAGCATTTTTCAGCAGTACCCAGGCTAGCCTTTTTCTTTTCAACAGGTTACTTGCTATATTTACTACAATCAGTGATGTAATTTTTTTCGTAGTACCGGCAGTTGAATTGTTCTTGCAGGTATTAGGTATCGATATTTCATGGTATATTTTCGACTAATTAGTGCTTTTACAAAGTCACGAGTTCACGGTAGACTAGGTCAGTCGTACCACAGGTCGTACTTATTGCTTAGTTTATTTTCAATATTAATATTAATTAAAATGACGTAGATTTTAATGCTTGTATTAATTTTAAGAAATAAAAATTAATGCAGCATGGTAATTTGACATAAAATGTAAATAATTTTGTTAGTAGTTAATAAGATAGAACTTCAAACAAATTTAAATCAATAAAAATAAAAATGTGGGGTATATATAAAATAGATAATAGGTTTAACAATCTAAAAAAGCACACATACAGCAGATAAGTTTTCAAAATTGATAGAAGTTTCGATAATATACAGGGTGGTCCGAACTGTATTCCGGAAACTTCGGCGGCATATTCTGCACATAAAAATAAGTAAAAAAGATCATATAAATGTATGTTGTAAAATGCTTAGTTTCGTAGATACAGGGTGTAGAAGTTTCATTTTTGTTTCGATTGTTTTCAAATAATTTCTGAAGTAACGTTAATATTTGGATGAAAATTGGTGTCTAGGAGTTTTTTAACATGAGAAATTTGATTTTGATGTCAGTATGACTCCTGTTTGTAGGGGGCGCCACCTACATATGCTTTAACTGCTTTGAAGAGTAATAACTTTTCGGCCGTACCTGTATGAAACAACTGAGTAAAAAAATACACATTTACGACGTTTTTTACGTAAAAAATGTCTCTTGGTAAAAATCGCTACAAGCAACCGTTCTCAAGATATTTTAGAATGGAAATAGTCAATACATGATATGATTAATATCATATCACAAAAAAAAACATATGTTGACTAGATAGTTATTTGACTGAAATGTAAAATTTCGGAACTTTTTATTTTTTTAAATTAGTCATAAATTTTTCTTTGAAAAAATGATGATAAAAGAGTTCCTGTTAAATGTTTGGCACAAAAACATTTCAAATTTATGATTTCAGTCTAATAACTATTTAGTCAACATGTTTGATTTATGTCAATGATGACAGGTATTGATAATTTCGATTCCAAATATCTAGAGAACCATTAGTCATAGAAATTTGTACCAAGATACTTTTTTTACGTGAAAAACGTCGTAAATGTATATTTTTTTACTCAGTTGTTTTATACAGGTACGGACGAAAAGTTATAACTTTTCAAACCAGTTAAAACACATGTAGATAGCGCCCTCTACAAATAGGAGTCATATTGACATCAAAATTAAATTTTTCATGTCAAAAAACTTCCAGACACCAATTTGCATTTAAATATTGACGTTCATTCAGAAATTATTTGGGAAAAATCGAAATAAAAATGAAACTTCAACACCCTGTATCTCCGAATCTAAGCATTTTAGGATATACATTTATACGAACCTTTTTATTATTATTATCTGCAGAATATGATGCCGAAGTTTCCGGAATACAGTTCGAACCACCCTGTATAATAAAATTCAATAGTTTAAAGTAATAGTAAAGTATTAAACGAAAAATCTATGTGCTTTGTTATAGATATTATTTTATAACATAATTTTGATCCTGCAGTTTGGATGAGTAGCTTAGTCTTGGATAGGTTTTTAAATAAAACAAATATTCATTTTTTTTTGGTTCAGACTCTGCTATCGCAGAAGACTCAATAACAAAGAGTCTGCTGTTAATCCCCTTTAATATAAATAAACATTACAAAAAACAAGCTCCAAAAGCTTTAGAATCTTTATTCAACTTTAATATCTGTAATAAATTCCTATTAAAGACAATTAAAGAGAGAACCAAGATTATTTTATTTTTAACTTTACTCTTAGGCCTTTAAACATAAAGACTACCTTCTGCTTTTGTAGATGCCGATTTTAATTTATTCCCTAAAAGTGTTCATTAAGCTTAGGGTCCATAATTAGGCCCTTCAAAATGTACATTTGTATCGTCTCTAAGGATATAAAACTCTTTTGAGACGGTTCTTTATTCCAAATTAGTACTAACTAAACTTATTCGTTTAAGTCAAAATTATTTTTTTTTATTTCGACTTTGTGTTTTTTTCTTCTAAATTGGTTAAGTTCTAGTCTTTTATGTACTTACTTTAGTAGTAAGTCAATTTTTATTAACCCTCAACTGGCGTGGTGGGGTCCAGCGGACCCCAAGCAATGTAAAATGTTTACGTTTAAGAATTAGGCCTCGCCGCGTCATTTACCTTTAAATTAGGGTACCAATATGCAACTGTTAAAGGCGCACTTGATTTTATTAAGTATTGTTTCTACCAGCGGGGGCTAAAGTATCATTGGGTCTATGTGGTAACACCACGCCAAAAATGTTTCATTATTAGGATGGTGGGTAGTCTAAAAAGTGTGCCTCATTGGGACGCTAATTTTGAGGAAGCATTAATTGAGTGGTTTGATGAACTTAAAGAGGCTTAAGTGAGACATTGAGACATTGATACATTGATTTTTCTCCGTAAGAGTAACTACGATTCTGAATCTTTACTTATAGAAGAGAGAAAATTGAATAATCAATACCAGAAAAGAAAGAGACGTGGTATATGGCAACCATATGTCAATGAAGAAATGACAAAAAACAAAAATCTCATGAATCAAATGTGCACGATCCATGTGCGGCAAATGCAGATCCTATATTAGCATGAATTGTATTTGAAAAAGTTATGTACATTCAAGGTTTGCAGTTTTGTTGAAAATAATGTATGTTTGTTACTTTTTTGCTTCACATTTCAGTTGTTTGTCCTTTTAATAATACTGTCACAGAACACACTAAAGTAGAACGCTAACTCCCATGCATTTTTTAGTTTCAAAACGGTTTCAAATTTGTAAAGAAATCTGTAATCTGTATATTGAAGTGGCGCCATCTAGCCACCCAGGAAAGTAACAAATGTGGCGGCAAATTTAAATAGATGCAATTTATTTTTAAGCAAGACGTATTGACTTGTTCGCCAGTTAGAGCCAATCAGATTTCTACAAAATAATGTGTAGTCATCTGATTGGTCCCAAGTTGGCAAACAAGTCAAATGGTAAAAACAAGGCTTTATATATAAAGGTTAAACCAGGTTAAACTATTGTAAAGTGTTAAATGGTTTGCTTATATCATTTTATGTGCATAAAAACCTATAATAAATAATTTATTTTAATTTACAGAAAATTATACCATGAAACATTTTACAAACAAATAAAACAACAGATTAAAAAGTATAATATTTATTATAGTACCAGATTTAAGAACACATAACAAATATCGTTGGAATACAAGAGAAAGTGACGTCCATTAGAAACAATGTTTTATTTACATGTATTTTTTACATATGGACTTGAACAATTGTGTAATATCACATTGTGGAGTTTATGTACAAAAATATGGAGTTGATCAATTTTTTTGTGTAAAAATATATGGCGTTGTAAATATTACATTGTTAAAAAATAAAATTCAAACATTTGGACTTGGTTAGGTTACCTCACTTTCTCGGATTATTAAATAAAATTGTTAGATAAATCAAAGTAGTAATCATTAGTAATCATTGTAAAATGAAGATTACAAAAAACACAGCCAAACAACTGAACAGAAAACAGCGAAACGCACATCTCCGTTCAATTGCAAAACACAACTGAAGAGGAAGGAGGAAGCCGGAAACGGAAAACTGATTTGACATACAGAACAATGACAGAACATAATTAATAGGCCTATTTAGGCAACTATAAAAACAATTTTATACGCAATTGTTAGGCAACTAGAAAAATTAAAATAAAAATACGCCATCTAGCGCCCCAGGAAATGACTACCCCAAAAACAGATCGTTCAAGGTCGTATATCTCAGTTGACTGGCCCTGAATACTGTTGCCAACTGTTGCGGACCTGTGTGGACTCGACCTAACCTAACTATATGGCCCGCCCCATATACGTATTACTTTTTACAAATATACTCAGGGTTCCCTATTTAACCCCGTGTGCAATTTCTGTGCCGTAAGAGAAAGACAACATAACCCAGCTCCATATTAAAACTGCATAAGTCTATTTCACCCGGATATGGATTGAACTGCGATTGCGCCAAACTCCGATTGATTGTTGTTTTAGTTCTGTTTGGATTACTTTTTATTTGTGCGCGTAAAAGAGTGATTTTGTTTAGTTTATTGTTTCCAACTATTTTTTGATATTTTTCCAACTCCATGATAATGTGTTATAAATAATAAAAAATATAAATAAAATTGAAGGTTAGGTGAAATGTCAGTCAACTGAGTCAACCACTTCCCTTTAAAAACATCGACCAATGAAAACTTCTTCAGGTGAGGCATGCTCAGTTAAATGAATATCCGGGTGAAATAGACTTATGCAGAATTCCATATTGTTCTTTCACTGTTTGGGCTTCACTTTTTGGAGATTAGGCTGAGTATATTTGTAAAAAGTAATACGTATATGGCCCGCCCTCGGATGACCTTAACATCGCATTAAAGAATAGACACCGTAATAATTCATTCGAAGATTCGAGAAGCATCGAGTTCTACTGGAATGGAGTAGTACATACGAGAACAATCGAAACCTCTATGCACCTAACCATCTATGGACTATTCTAGAGACCTTTAGCTGTAGGTATAAAAGCCGGCGGCTGTGGCCTAAAGAGGGTAGTTATAAATATACGAGTGCAGTTGACGCGCTAAAATTCAAAATAAATTCTTAGTTATTAATCGTTTGTAAATAGTTCTTTAAGTCTTTTATCGTTATTGTTTTTGTTAATTAGTGTTAAGTAAATAGTGTTTCAATAAATTGTGACTTTCTATCCACACGGAACCGACGAAAAACGTAACAATATGGTAAAATAAAATATATATGTTTTTAATTTCTATGGGTTTCTTAGCCAAGTTATATTT